AGTCCAAGAACATGAAGCAAGCTTGCAGTTCCCTGACTAGCACTCCAGCAGTTCCCCGCCTCTTCTGTCCCCAGGTTCCACAAGGCCTGCGAGGAAGATAGCATAGCTTGGGATTTCCCCCCAGCCGCGGATTCCTTCACACTCTGCCCGTGCATGCTAACCGTGCTCAGGCGTCTCCCGAATAAAGGCGGCCATCCTAAGTGAACATGAAGCCAGAGGCTGCCCAAGGTGGCCACCCCTAATGCTTCCTGTGTGCAAAGGATGCCTTTCACGAACACGCGCGCAGGGCACCCAAAGCAGGGCAAGGCAGGGCATCCAACCGAGCCTTGCAGGCTTTGGCCGCCTTGGGCCGAACCTTGGGGCCTCGGCGCTTCTCGACGCTCAAAAGCGCTGCATTTCTATGGGCTTAGGGTTTCAGGGTTTAGGTTTTTTTGGGGGGGTTTAGGTTTTAGGGTTTAGGGTTTGAGACTACCGAGCTCCTGCTCTGCCAAGCGGCTGATTGAGAGCATCTTCTTCAGAAGGTGCAACGTTCCCGTTCGGACCTGCCGTGGTGCATGCGCATGCGCATGCCTATGTGAAGATATGTACATGTATAGGTACATCAGTACTACACTATTATACTCCTCTACACTTGTCGATCATCTGCACGTGTATGTAGACAGAGAGAGAGCAAGAGAGAAAGAGAGAGAGAGAGAGAGAAACAGAGAGAGAGAGAGAGAGGCAGAGAGCGAGGTAGCGAGCTAGACAGAGAGACTTTACAAGTCTCCGGCCTGGAGCAATCCTGTCTTAGAATATGCGTCGTAAGCAACCACTATGTGACAAACACAACACACGCTCTTGCAGGTTGGTCGGCACGGTGGTGACTTCATGCTGGCTACTAAACTACAGATGAACTGGTTTGCGGTGTGTTCGTGTTGTCGGACTACCGCAACTGAAGAGAGTTCGCTGTGACCACTTGTACACAAACGCTCAGCGATTCGGGTGAGTCGTTACAAGGCATCCCGATGCATCCGTTTGCCTGTTTGACCTTCGGGTGGCTAAACTTTGCCTTACCCGCCAGCGTTCGCTGGAGGCTGGCACCTTGCACGCGGGCTCTGCGTGGGTTCGGGATTGCTTCGCTTATTGGGGATGTCGCAGCTCAGTTTCACCAAGCTGGAGGGCACCGCGAGATGCTGCGAGGCAAACGCGGGACACGAGTGCTGTCAGCAACGAAGCAGTGCAGGAATTGTTGGGGCCCTGAGTAATGGCTGTAGCAGTGGTGTTTAGAAACCACAAAGTTCAACTCCTATCACTGAGGCGGCAGCTGGTGTTCGCTTCCCTCAAGGCCTTCCCGAGGAACAAGAATTCTCAAGCGGTGCTTCATTGGGGCTGAAATTCTCCCCGAGTCCTGGAGCCCTTCAAAACCTGAGCACTGCCACGCCTCAAAACAAACAAACAGTCCAAAGGGGGCTTCAGGTCATTGGCTAAATGTACCGGACCTGCTTGGAAGGTCGGTTAGAGCCGCCTAGTTTTAACGAGCTGGGGAAGCTTCTGGTTTACATTTTGTGTTGCAGAGAACAGTTGCATTTTGGCCATTGCTTAAACAGCGCATACGACAAACAATGGTCGACCTTTCCGACGGTGTTTGCTGCGCAAGGGCAAAGCCCCCACCTCACATTTCCTTGACCTTCACCTTAACTCAACACAGAATTTCATGTGCCCGGTCTCCTCGATGCCGCAGTAAACGTAGAAAAGCAGCGCTCCGGCGCTGAACACATCACCTCAGGGGTGAGGGCTTGAGCCCTGGGTAGCAACGCAATCCGTTGCAGCGCAAGCGGTCTTTTGCATTAGGCCATCCAATCCGCACGCTGCGAAGGCACCCTCGTGAAGAGGGAAGCTGGGGCCGCTGCTGAGGCTGCCGTATCCCGGGCTTCCTCGGCACAATGGGCTTGCATGTTCCTTTTGGCTATACTCTGCTGGAGTGGGTCCCTGCACTCAACAACCTTGCATCGACGTCGTCTCCGGCTCAAGATCTTTCTCGCCTTACACATCTCCAACGACCGCCGACGCGAATGCCTAACGCAAGACTACAATGACTGCAAGTTCTTGGAGCTGCTGAAAGCCAAAGCTCAGCTCACAAACCGTGAATCCTCATACTGTAGGCATACCTAATCGTCTGAAAATGAAGTGCTGCAGGGTTGCTGGTATCCACAACTTCCGGGGCCACGTATCCCACTGTCCCCAGCCTTCGGCCGCCACGTTTCCAAACTGCTGGGGCCCGCTCTGATGATAGGCCCCTCCCTGTGTGAATTTGAATCGTCGAAGTTCCTGAAATCCCACAATGGCGGGGATATGCGAGCAGATCAAATAAGGATGAGCAGTGCGAGAGGCACTGGCGCATGTTCGTGACAACACGAGAAGCAAACGATGCTCCGCCATGCCCTTGCAGTGGGTTTTCTGCTTATACCACTCATGCCACATCGATCAGGACGAGAGGCTTGGAAAGAGAGAAAACAAGGCTTGCGCCTCAGAACTACACGTGCGAAACTACGACCAGTCTGTCCATGTCTGCCAGTTTCTGCTCTGTTCAATGTCACAATGTCTTAGTCTCGTGCTTCGTTGACATGTGAAGGGTTGTGGAAGCCCTCGTTCCCTGCATGAGCAGCCCGCTGCTTTTGAATGTGGCTCAGCGCGAATCTAGAAAGTCCCCACACTCCGAAGCCCGACAGAGAAACCCCCGGTTTCCGACCTGCGCATCATGGCGACCTCGGCAGGCCGTAAGGCTTAGCAGGCTAGCAGCTACTCGAACTTGAGGTGCACCTTCCTTGTACGTGAAGCAGATTAAAGCCCAAGCTAGTGCGGGATCTCTTGAAGATGCTCGCCAGCAAAATCAACCTGTGTGGAACAACTGCGCAGGCCTGAACACCCTCCGAATTAGGATGTGCACTGTGGGGATTCAGGCGAGGTTGACGGATGAAGCGTACCGCCCTAATTGCAATTTATGGGTGTAATGCTTACAGCATGAATGTGCATGCATGTTCGTCAAAGCAGCAGAGTCGTCGAGGTGAGCAGCTTGGCCTGCCCAGCTTCTGGTTTTGCGACATGTTGCAAAGGTCAGATGCGATGAGCTTAGCCCAACACATAGCTTGTTGCTTATTCGTCACTGTTCTGGGATAGCTATGACAGCTATGAAAGAGGGGGGTGCTGGCAGACGGCGCAGACAGCTCCCTTCACCACGGCACACTGCCTACGTCTGACCCTCGACCTGCACTCGACCTTCCACTGTCGGTCTTGCTCTTTCTCCTTGCTTTCTCGCCGTCATGCTTTATAAATTATAAAGCGGAGAACTACAAAGCACTGCTCAAAACGTGTGAAACTCAACGCCTGTACAGCAAAAAGTCAAAGCTCATCCACTCCCCAAGGTTCCATGGGGTGGCTGGCTATCGCATGGAGAACACTTAGCTAAGCAAGGCTTCTTGACCATGCGATCTACTAATCTACTACATGCGAAAGCAGCGATCATCGCTGCTGCCTGGAGTCTGTGAGATGTAGGGGGGAGGGAAAATTTGGCGGATACCAAAACAGGAGCTCCGTTGGCCACCGAGGAGCTCGAATCCCACATTTGACATGGCGCCCCTTTGGCAATGGATTGGACAACCCCGGCTGCAAAGAAAAAGCGCCCCTTCACTACAGCGAATAGGCCCTACGTGGCAAGTTCTGCCCAAGATAACATAAACATCGAGGAGTTTAAAGCCATTGCCAGAGGCCCGGGCCATCTCAACACAAAGCCGCAGAGCGAAAAAAACGGCTGAAGCCTTCCGGGCCCGCTCCACGAATCCGACTCATTTCTAGCCGCATAGATGACCTCAAGCTTCAGGAAAGCAGTGGAAGAAACATGAAGCGATCCTCTCAGCAAAGTGCATCGTCGATGGCATTTTGGAAGCGAGTTGCAACAAGGACATAAGCAGGTTTAGACAATGGAGAACTTACTCAACGTCTCTTGCCATCCCGTGGTCAGATCTTCTGAATCGGCATCGCTGAGACTTTGGCTTTACAATGCTTTACATGTCTGAGAATCTAGATCCAAAGTATCAATCTGCGTGCTCCATGCCCTGTGGCCGCTTCGTCGTTGCTGCTTGCTGCTCTCTGAGTGAAAGCCCGAATCCCTGCAACACCCCCGGATTCTCCAGACCACAGGCGCCCTAGCGGCTCTAACCAAACCATGGCGCAGCTCAAGCCAGATCTTGGCAGACAGACGGGGCATGCAGATTCTTCCTGCAGGCAGTTGGGTCGAATGGGGAGGTGCTGGAGAGGGAAAAGGTCGACCAATCATGCAAAGGCTTCATGTGAGGATGAGATCCGTCAATAAAACTTGTTGCACGTGGAAACGACTATGGTTTCGAACCTCCGGCGAAACGAAACGAGTGTCCTGAGTCCCAACCCAACGCCAAGCCTTGTGCCGCACCTACATATCTGTTCATGCAGTGAAGACTTTGTTCCCGCAACACTGATGACAATCAAAGTCTTCTGGAATCCCTCGACTTGCAATGCTCTGGACTCTGAACTCAGCCAAGCATCCAGCTGTTCATGTTGTCTGTGCACTGGTCAAGGAGCCTGACAGTCGACTCTGCAACAACAACAACAACAACGACGACGACGTCGTCAAACAAAACTACCGCTGGTTTCCGGCGTGCAGACACACCGCATCATGGCGGAACAGCTGCCACTTTCTCGCATCCAACCGAAGGTTTCCCTGTCTGATCTCGAAACCTTGAAGCTTCCTCCCGAGGGACAAACAAGATCATCTCGCATCCCGCAAAAAAATCCTTCCCGGCGGCTGTTGCGCGATGCGCAGGGTGCCCTTGTTCTGCGCGGCGGCAGTGCACTCTTCGAGAGGCATCCCTGGAGGAAGGTCGTGGCTCACTGATCTTGCTCTCACCCTCCTGTCTGTGGCCTAGGCTTCGACGAAGGCTCATGCCAATATCTTCTGGGTTTGTCATATGCATCTTTGCGCTTGGGCATCATGAGAGTCTTCCAGCCATTCGGCATTTACTTGCTGGCGACCACGTCGGGGGAAGGGAAGGAAGGTTCAAGATGCAAATCTCTTGCACACCAGCGCCTCCGGTGAAGGACCGCGAGAGCCTCGACTCCACCTAAGACATGTGGCCAAGATCCGGGCGACGTTTCACACCATGCACTGTGCAAGTGGACTTCCCTGTGAATCGTCCAGGTTGCACCCCGCACATCCCCAATCCTTCTCGGGTGATACCTAACATGCGGAGGTACCTCGCAAAAACAGTTCGCGAGGATAGGGTTTGGCGGGGGATGTTGAAAGATCCCACATCCTCCAGTTGACAGGCACCTAACAGGCCGAGGTACCTGACGCGTGGGCTGGGGTGTGTAATGGAATCGTCACACTCGTGCAGAACTTGCCAACGTTTGCACTCTGCACAGTTGAACTCAGCTGACAAAAACTGAAGACAACTCGAGGCTGCGGCTTTCAATTCCTGCTCGCTTGGCACGATGTCGTCTAAAGGCAAGACTTTCCTGAGCCGGACAAAAGCCACTCTTAGAGACCGCACCTATGCGAGCTGCAGACGCTGCCAGGGTGCAACCCATGGCGCGAAACGTGCAAAGAAACGGACGTGGCCGGCTTCTTCCTGTTGCAGAGTCTTCTTGTTGCTTGAAAAGGTGCGTTTCGAGTACGTTCAAGCACGATGTTTGTTAGAGATCGGCTTGGTTAGGATTGACAGCTGCTGCCTCTTCTAGTGATGCTGAAACGACTGTGATGTAGAGGCCGGGCCGGTGTGAGAGTCATGGTCGATGAAGCATCAAGGCAGTAAGCTTTGGGGGCGCATGCGCTGTGTTGGGAACGAAGCGCGAAGCCTCGGGGCCTTGGGTAGCCATGTGGATTTGCCCTCAAAGGTTGACAAAGGTCACGTCCTGAGCCCTGCACCCCCAAGCCGAAGCAAGCCCAAGCAGAGCGGGAACCCTGAAGCAAGTCCAGCGACTTTCGCCTCTGTCTGAGCTGAAGGCGGTTTTCAAGGAGTTCGTCCAGCCTGACAAGTTCCTGCAGCGCGCCATTCTTCAAAGCTACTGCATTCTTCTGCCCCTGGAGCGGCACAGTCAAGTAAGTATCATGCTACCGTCTCACGGACCTACAAGACCTTGGGCTGGTAGGCTGCATAGGCCAATGCAGGTGGGCTGTAGCAAAGGCAGTGTGATGCTAGCAGCCCGCTCTGACAGCTCGAGAGCCTGAATCCAAAGTGTTGCCCTGAGTGCGGCCGAGAATCTTCATACATCGGCAGGCAAATAAACTGCAGAAAGCCCGTTTGGGACTTGGACAGATCGAAGTTGTTCCTGTCGCCTCAAGACTCAAGCGGTTGCAGTCTCTTTGTAAGCAGATCGGAGCTTCCGGTGTGCTCGGGCAGGTGCACAGCAGATACTTGTCGATTGTTGGAAAGACGACTCAGGAGTGTTTAGGCTTGCCGCCCCGCCGTCGCCCACCTTCCCGTGCCCGCACCACCCATCCGCTTTCTCTACCGCACTGAACCCTTCTGGCAGAGCCCTTAAGTAGAACACGAAACCCACACAATCCAAGGAGCCGGGCTCCCCAAATGCAAGCCTCCCAAAGTCTCCTCAAAAAACCAAAGGGTTTTCACAAACGCTGCCGGTGCCAGGGGCCAAGGTGCAGAGCGGAGACAGCGGCAGACCGAGTCCTAGGCGCAGCTTTAGGCGAAACGTCAGGGTATTTGCCAAAGCTGACACATGGGTCTAGCAGACTACCGTACTGGCGGTGACTAGCGCTTGGCGTCCCGATGAGTGCTCTTGAACCCGCGTCCTCTTTCGACGTCGCCCTGGGCATGGAACTCCTGGAGCGGCCATGGTCGTGCGCACCGGAGCTAAGTCAGATTTCTTGCTGTTTCAGAAAGTCGGCACGGCTTGGAACCCTCGTTGCTTCGACTTCAAGGACGCCTCCGGGAATGAGCTACTTAAGTAGCAACCGACCATGCCCGACGACACACTGACCCTGCTCGCATCGCACCGGCCGAAGCCATGAATGTGACAGAACACAGACCTTGTCCAGGTCTCACCGACCCTTGCTGGTTCTTCCCTACTGGCCAGCCTACATCGAGTTAAGCAGGGAGGCTCCACAGTATGACCAAATCTTCCAACAGTAGGGCCATCCCACAGTCAAAGCCTTGAGCGTGACAGGCTCTAAACACCCTCACTGCCCTCACAGGGAAAGCACTGGCAATTTCAGAGGATTCCGACACCAAGGCAACCGCGGACCTTGGGCACAAAGCAAGGATTGGCATAGCTGCATTGAAGAGCCTCCTGAATTTGGCACCCTGTTGAAGATACGGATCCCCGGTTTCGGAGGGTCCTCGACCAAGCGTTCGGACCAGCGCCTTGACGGGAGGAACATAGGAACTCTGAAACTGAGATGCACTGCCCATTACCGCCAATTTTCTGTCAAAGAAGCATCTTAGCAGAGGGTCGGCCTGCTCGTAGGCTCTGGAACGCTCTGGAGATCTCTGGAGGTTTTGCAATCCCGCCTGTGAATATCCCACGGCTTCGCAGAGTGTCCGATGTCCGATGCCCGAAAATACCACGTCCTTGGCTGAAGGCGCACGTATAGGCGATGGGTTGGGGGTTTCGTGCGCTTGGTTCTAGAGCGCATGATGGAGCACAGCGAAGTCTGCATCACGAGTCAGCTCTTGCAGGAGAGACAATCAACCCTGCGACCACCTCAAAACAAGTGCCACCCGGCGTCAGCGCCAATTGCTGGTCTGCGGCCACTTCGCTGGGGTCCTGGGCTTTACCGTCTAGGCCGATGGAAACTCTCCACCCTTGTCGATGCCGTGCGACAAAATCGCCATTGCCGAGCCGTAGCCGAAGATCTCCGAGATCCTGGAGTAGGGTCGTGGATCGCCTTGCGACACAGACCCACCTGAAGCCTTCGGCCCGCGCCTGCATGTGTTTGGAGAGGTCGGTCGAGAGGATGAGAGCGATACGCACCTGCAGGACTCCCACTGCTGGAGGGAGGCCAAGCAGCAGGAAGCCTTTGAAATTCTCGAGGTCTTGTGGCGCTCAAAACTATTAACGAGTCCGAAGCCGTCCACGCACCCTAAGAGGGAATGATTCGTCCGCAAGCACAGTCCACATAAACCTTGAAAGCCGGCTCTGCAACGGTCAGTCGATTGAAGAAAAGCCCTTATTGTGGCATTGACAGGGGTGGGATGTGAGGGGTAGGAAAAGGGCCTCAAGCCCAAGGGCCCCCCCCCCCCCGACATCTTGCCTGACGCTCCCTTGCTTCGTGGTTCTGTGGGATGGCCATAAGCCTCAGGCGCAAGGGCGGTATACATCTTCGGAGAGAGTCCACAGGTCTTGCGCCATGCGTCCTGTTCGGGAAGATTTTGGCGCGAAGCATGCTGAAAATAGCAAACGGCAGGATATTTGTCGAAATGCTGAGCTGCACCTGCAGGCCATAAAAAAGATACCAGAAACAGCCGTTTCCCTGCTCGATTGCCTTGCCACAAGACTTCAGCACGACGGCAAGCCACATAATCAGATGAGAACTGTAGCCTCTGACAAATATCCTCCCTCACACATAATGGCGGGAGTCTACAGCCATCGTCTGCCTCGTTCTGTGAGTGCCGCCGCAAAACGTTGACAAAGGAAGAATGCAGTAGTTATGATCCTGTCCTTGTGAATCTCGCATGCCGAAGCCCAGGACCCAACATGTCCCAGAAGCTTTGTCTGGCGCGGGCCGTACCGATGCGAAAGCAACCGCTCCTGGTCCGGGCTTGCCGCTTTGGGGGGGGGCTCATCACACAAGCGACTAGCATCATTCTGATGAACATAGGGTTGAAACTCCACAGGACTTGCCCATACTACATGCAATCACCAAGACTCAAACTAAGTTCCGTGTCCATCACCAGAGAGTATTCAAAACGCTGCCTACAACGACGGAGCCCGTCAGACACTCCATCGATTCCCCACTCTCCGCTAGACTCCAGCCTGACGAAGGTACTCAGTGCGTTAAAGCCACGTCAAAGCAAATAAAACCTTTTCTGATTACGTGCTGGGAAAGGTGCAAGCTCAGCTGCGTGGAAGTTCTCCAGCACAGAGCGGTCGTTGTAGGTCACCGCCTCGGATGGCCCAGGGCTTATGGTTATTTGTCTCCGAGTTAGTGACACTTCTTGCAGGTGTGGTAAGCCTTACAGAAGCCGAACATGCCAACCCCAAGTCGTGACAGCAACGGCATTGCATGCATCCTTTTGCTGTAGTGGTGTCATATCCGGGCACGTGATGTCGCATCACGCCATGTACGCTGTCTTGCTGAAATGATCTTATGCTGCATTGCTGTACTTGCGGATGTATGGTTTGATGTTGAGCAGGCTCTGCAAGATGTCGACGTCTACGGAGCTTGAGAACCTCTACGCGACGCATTCAGCACTTCCCACCCCTCAAACGATTCCGGGAAGCAATGCGGACTTGGAAGATATGATTTCTAAAGATGGTTCCGAAAATAGCCCGGGACAAGAGCTTGGACTCCATCCGTAAGTTCGAATCTCCGCTCGCTTGGCTCGCTTCTCACTTGCATTCGGTTGGTTAACATGCTCGACTGGCACAAAAGTGCACTACTGCTGGCTTTGCTACTTGCATTGGTATGTGCGATTTTTTCAATGCAAACAATCGATGTCCATTCCACCGATCAAGTATATTATCAGTATAATATGGCATTCAGAACGCTCACGGACACCTCGCAAGAGCGTGAAGTGTGAATGAGCAAGCTTTCTACCTCATTTCTGTCATGAAAGGTTGATACTCTCCACAGTGTCAGGTATGCGGCAACCAACTTCCACGGCAACAACAAGCATTCGTGAGACCATTACCGCTGGCACCGGAACCAGATGCTTAACGGTATGCATGTGATTCTAACAAAACCTCATCCCTACTGCGCATGTCCTGTGATGGTTCACCCTCGGCAGCATCAACTGGCACAGTGCAGAATAGTGCAGAGCTTCTGTCAAAGCACCATCGACTCCATGCCATCAAGCTCTGAGATCGTGGCTCTGTCCAGGCTCTATATGAGAACTTCTTGGAAACTAGGAGCACATTTAAAGGAGGATCCTCAAAGGTCGTTCTCACGATTCTATGATAGCTTCCGTAGTAGTCACAGTTGTGCGCCAGGCTACGAGGTTGTCCCGAGAGTTGACCTGGAAGCTGTTGTTGAGACCTGGGGGGCTCGGCACTTTCCACACGGAGGGAGGGGCACCTCAATGCGTTTAGGCTCTCGGCTTTTCACGCTCTCAAAACCCATGCGCCGCCTTTGCGGTTTTTTGGGCTTCTCGAGCGCCTGAAAAACCCTTGCAGTAGTTGCCTGCGATGCTCAACGGTCATGAAACCGCCCATCCCATCCCCGGCAAAGCCCTGCGGCGCCTGGATGTCCCAAGTCATGACCCAGAGCGGCAACACACATAGAGACCTGTGGCTGCACACAGCAACAACCTTTTGCGCTGTACAAACTGCAAACTTCACAACAAAGCAAGCATCAGATGGTTGGACCTCACGCCAACCAGGCTGCTAAACAAAAAAAATCACCCCAAATCTACGAAAAAGGCGAGACCCCTCTAAAGAGAAAATCCTGAGCTTCTCTTCGGGTGGCACTCCGGAGAGCTGGTAGCTCAGAGGACTGGAGCAGCCCGGAGCTCGAGGCAAGGACCTGAAGAGCACAGATGGGGTTTATAGTTTGGTTTAGGGTTTGGGGATTTGGGGGATTTGGGGTTTAGGGTTTGGGGATTTTGGGGTTTAGGGTTTGGGGATTTCTGGGTTTAGGGTTTAGGGGGCTTCCGAAAGAGCGGGTTTTGCAGGTGTAGTCAACGGCACCATCATCCTCACCATCTGGTGCAACAACTGCTGAAGTCTCAAGCCCACAGCCTCAAAAAACAAGAACAGAATCAGGAAGAAACAGCGAAACATGAGAGAAGGACGTGGCAGCGAGATCCTTGGGCTTAGAAGATCCAAAACCCTGGAACCCCCACTCGCCATGCTCCTTCGAAAAAGAGTCCACCACCCCCCGCCTCAAAGGAGTTCGCTGCATCAGCCGCGTGAGCGCTGGAGTGGTAGGGATTGGCTAAATACCTGGACGGGGCTTGCAGCCACGGGGAGCTGGATGCTCGGGCAGGTGCCGGATGCAGGGCTGACCATGATTGGGGAGCAAACGTCATGCGCACGGTGCTTATCCATGCAGCTGGTCCCTCGACGACCGTTGTCTGTGTTGCTGCTCGTACGAGCTGCGACCACCGCCACCAGGGCAAACCCTAAACCCTAAACCNNACTGTTACTGCTACTGCTACTGCTATAGTGCTACTGCTAGTGCCCGTGCTCCTGCTCTGGCTGCGGCTGCGGCTGCTGCTGGCACTGCCCTACGGCCATGCAGATGCCAAGTGCTCTTCTATGTAAAGCGACGATAGTAGAGCTAGTGTCTGGGAGCCTTTCGAAAGGATCTGTGGACTGTGCCTGCAGGCGGAATGGCTCGAAGAAGCCACAAGCTAAATCAGGCATGATCGGCAGAAGCCAGCAAAACAACTAAAGGCCGAGACGGCCGAAGCTGGGTTCCTAGCTGTGCAAAGAAGCGCTAGGATCGAAGATGCACAAGTTTCTTGCTGAAAAAGGCGTTTGAGTGCATGCGGGCCATGGCCCTGTGAGCCGTCCCATCCCTGCGATTATCAAGATAGAGCCTGCTTTAAGAAGAAGACGTTACAGACTGACAAAGGGAGTGCAATCTCTACAGACTACACCACCACCACTCCTACTTACTACTACTACTA